ATAAACTGGAGAAAGAGGGCCACAGCAAGACAGAAGTTATCCAGAAGAGAGCAAAGCAAATCAATGAAATGTGGGAGGAACTATGCCATGCCATCCAGACAAGGACAGAGGTAGGAAATACATGAAAAGGTGGTGGTGCATTGAATTCCCTGCGTTTTTCTGTGTCCTTCTTTCTTTCTCAAGCCGGTGCATTGCTGATGTTAAAACACAAGGTTTGTAAGAGTGATGAGTATATTCTTTTCTCTTCTTTCTTGGCCTGTTTCCCTTTGTAGCCATTTCTTAGCCTGGCATGGTTTATATTTGAAATACGTGTATCAGCCTAGAGACATTCTGTTTTCCTAAATTCACCGCAACCGCCAGTTTCCTGAAAAGCTAAGCTAATCTAATGGTTTACCACAATTAATAGGAGGAAGTTTCACTCTCCGTATCCTCTTTACCCTCCTTTTTCACTCTGTCCGCCTTCCTGCTTTACTCCTGGCTGTGCAGTCCCACCCTTGTCCCAGCTCTGGCACTGACTGGACTCTTTCTTCAACTACTTCAGCTCATTAAACCAGCAAAAAACTAACCAACCAGATTTGTTTGCTGGGTTAGTGAGCTGAAGCCAAAGAAAGAGAATGGGAGATAAGGTGAAAGAGGACACAGAGCCAAAACCCCTGACTTTTAGCAGCGGTTAGCTGTTAAATCAGCTCACCTCATCTTGTGAAACTGCAGCCACAGATCCATTTGGAAATGCATTCATTTGGAAATGAATGTCGAGTTCAGGACATACTGAACTCGATGTGAGTGTTTGCTTGAAGGAGATGGTTTAATGTTGGATGTCCTCAACCCTTTCACTTACTGTTACATACGTTTTGCATATGACGTAGCTGAAACCCACTACTGTGTGTTAGCAGCAGTTATACTTAACAATTGTTTTTAATGTGAAGCCTGAATGTAAAATGGTAGTGGAACATTTTTAATCCTCTCATCTCAGAAACCCTAATTTTCACCTATCTCACCTTATTTTCACAGTTTGAAATGTAGGCCTCTGTCCCAAGCAAGTTTTCTAGGATTCTTTCTACAGTCAAGAGAAGTATCTATAAAGGGCAGTTCATGCTCTCCATCCTGATCATTCATCTTAGGTAGGGATAAATTGCTCTAGAAAGACATTTATTTCTTTTCCTTGACACAGAGAACTTGGGAAACTAGGTTAGCGTGGATACCTCTTTTGGATGATTTAACTGGGAAGGTGTTTTGTTCTCCCACTTGTACAGTCTGTGCTGCATGAGGATATGACATTAAGGTTGTCTATTTTTGCACTGCAGACATGATATATCATATTATCAGTAAAATGTTTCTTTATTCCAGAACCTAAGAGCAGCCCAGCAAGTTCATCAGTATGATCATGACGTGGATGAAGTAAAAGGCTGGATGCAGGAGAAAGAGGCCGTGGTGGACATAGAAGATTATGGATATGACCTTCCAGGCGTACAGACACTTCTCAGCCAGCTTGAGGGAGTTGAGGTAAAGAGATCTGTCGTGAAACAGTGGCAGAAAGATGTAAATGGAAAAAAAAAGGAGAGTGATGCACGTTTTGAAATCTTTTGGGCTGCCTCACTTGCAGGCCAACAAAAGATAAATGTATTCCATCCTGAAATATCCATAGTGCCTCATAGCGAGGGGACCTTTTTCTCCTGCTTTTAGCATTGTGAAATTATTTTATTACTAATTTTTTTTGATGAGCTTCTCTCCTAAATTTTATTCAAAAATTGTTGTTATAATTGTAAAGGTGTCATCTGAAATGCAAGAAGAGACTTTAGCTCCATGCTTGTCAAAATAATCAGTGTGTTGCATCTAAAGAAGCTTCTATGGTATTTGATGACGAATGTTTACAAGCACTAGGAGGAAACTAAGAGGGAAAGACCTAATAGTGTCATAGTTCCAGCCTCTGTGCATTCAGTGAATAAAAAATATAGGCTCCATCTTTAAAATATGCTCTTGATAGTTAGTCTCTCTGTGTAAATAGAGACCTGATCTTACAGTCAGTTCTGTCTCCGCTCCAGAGAGATCTAGGAGCCATCATGAAAGAGCTGGAGCGGATTCGTGGAGAGGCTTGGCACCTCAGCCGCACTTATCCTCAAGTGAAGGAGAACATTATGGAGAGACTCACAGATGTGGATGAATGCTGGGAAAACCTGGGCCAGAAGTTCCTGGAGAGGAAAGCAAGACTGAGCCAGGCAGAACAAGTCCAGCTCTACTTCAATGACTGCAGGGAGCTGATGTATGTGTGGGCACCTTACGTTTGGCAGTGGGCCTGATTTCTTGTCTTTCCCTCCTGAGGTTTTCTGTATTAGACCTGTGGGTGGTTTGACTCCTGTCTCAGGTGTTCTGAAGCTTGATTATGAATTTCTTTGAATAATAACAACACAGCACGTCTTCTCAACAGTACTCAACAGAATTTATCACACAGCAGAAGGGACCACGCCACTCTGCTTCAGCATAGTGTGCATGGTGGACCCACATTTTTAGACTATTTCCAGTAAAGTCTTGGAGAATTCGGTCACTCTGGATAGTTTTGGTAGTCTCACAATTACAGTCAAAAAACATCGTCTTTAGGGAGATGGGGAAATCTCTTCTAGATATCCAGGTAATTTGTGTGCTTTTATTAGAGTCAGAGCAACTACATTAAAGACGATCTTCTAGAATAGATTAGTACTTGCTCAAGTTCTACAAGTGTTTTGGGCACGTTTTTTTAATGCTGTTGCCCATATGTGCACACTCTCCTGTCCGTTTTTATTAGGTGTCAATATTTGGTAGTAACTCAGTTGGTGGGAAGTTCCATGTTTTTTTTTCCTTTTTTAATCTGAATTAGAACAAAAGGCTGAATGTCAAAAGCATCTACAAAATGTCTTTTGAAAAATTAAATTGAACTAAAACATCTCATTTTGATTAAAGCAACCGTGTCAATGTATCTATAAGCAGAGGTCTGACATAAAAGTTGAAATAACTGATGGTTATATTCTTTACTGAAAGGAGCCAACCAACATTATTAAAATACTAGATTTTTTCATTTTAATGGCATTTTCATCAAAACTGATACGTTCACCATGGAAATTTTGATTTTTGAACAGCATTTATCATAGAATATGGGAATTTTGGAATCAGTGAAGTGAATGAAAGCATTAATCCATAACAGGAGTAGAAATTGAAAGATAGCGAAATGGTTACCACTGACTGTTGGGCACTTATAATGCTAAGGACTAGATCCAGAGCTCAGGTAAATTAAGAGGCATTGGTTTATGCCAGTTGAGGCTTTTGCCCAGGAATACAAACTTTCCCTTAAAATTATCTGTCAGTAAGCTTCTTTACATGAGTACTCTGTAGGCATATGAAGTGCTTTTATGCATGGCAATAAGGTTACGTGGGCATCTGCAAGTCTGTATGTCCCAGCACCATGTGTAAAAGCACTAGGAATGTGTACAGCCTACACATCTGCAGTTACAGGAGTTCCTTTGAAGGATTTACAAGCTTCTCACTTCAGTATGAAGAGATGCTGCAGCTGCTTGACTAACAACCCATATATTGAAACGTCAGTGGGAACACTTCAGAAGGCTGTAAAAAAAAAAAAAAAACCATAAATGTGTGGGTGAGCCTACACAAATGTATTTGTAAATGCATATCTTTCATGGTCAAATAAAGGTCTGTATACATATGTCCACACCCATGGGATGTGTGCGTTCATGGATAGCCAGAGGATTCAGATTCCTTCCATTTTTGCCCTTTTGAATTTGCTCTGTAGGGCCTGGGCCAATGAGATGCATGCACTTGTGATATCTGAGGAATTGGCAAATGATGTCTTGGGAGCTGAGCTGCTTATCAAGCGTCATGAGGAATACAAGCGTGAGATAGAGAAGCAGTGGCTAAAATATGAAGAAATGCAACAGGCAGGAGATGACCTGATGAAGAATGGACATTTCATGTCTGTGGAGGTATGCTGATGATGGGTAAAATATTTTACAAACAAGGGTGAACTAAGAAGACATACTAAATGGGCAGATGCCCTATTGTGCTATAGCAAGAGAGTTTTCAGTAAGTTTTCAGAAGAAGAAATTCAAAGGCATGACAGATTTACAGATTTATCTCTCACTTCTTGTGACTTACAAAAAAGGAAAGCACCTTTTAAAGTTCTTCCTCGCTCCTCTAAAAACTGATTTTGAAGCTAACCATGAAAGGAAGAGTAGTCAATGCACTGATTATAGCTGTGCAGGGGAGTAGGAGGTATCCCTTTTCCACAGAAAAGTTGTACCTCAGAAAGAAGTTTTTAGCATTTAACTACACAAGAACTGGGATAAAATACAGGACAATGCAGATCAAATATAGTGTGGAGTGAAGTCTATAAGTACAACAGAAAATAAGCAATTCTTCAGAAATTTTAGAAGGAGGAATTACTTAACCTTAAAACCTCTGTGATCCTCTTATCTATGTAACTGTAGACTTTGACCTTTGCAATGACCTCAAACTTATCTTGAAACTGTCAGTGGATCCAGAGATCACAGTTAAAAACATCTTCAGAACATGTGCAAGATGATTACATTAATTCCATTGCTAAGAGAATTGGCGGGTTTTCAACAGTTTAAGGATCTCCATTGTCACCATGCCATAAATGCATAAATTTGTTGAGTCTTATGGGTTCCCTTTAGTTCCACAATACAAATTGTCTGGGTATAAAATTTGACCAAGGGAAAGCATATAGCAGAATACTAGTTACACAGCATGTGGAATATGCATACAGTTATAAAGTATAGCTATGTAGAGTGGAGACTAAATGAATCCAGCTAAGCAAAATGAGGACTCAGACTTCCTTTCGAAATTATGTTGGCATCACAAAATCATCTATAGGTCATTTGGGTCTGAAGGTCAGATTACAAGGTTAGCCGGATGTCAGATGAAAGTCTGACTGTATCTTTCACCTGCTGGCATTATAAATGTTATTTTTCTAGATTGAAGAAAAATTGTTAGAGCTGTCAGAGCTGATGAAGAAGGTAAAGGAGAGTTGGGAAATGAGGAAGGAGTTGTATGAAGAGAACTGGGAGATTCAATTGCTCCGGCGAGAGCTAGAACAAGCAGAAGCATGGCTGGCTGCCAAGGAGAGCTTTCTTTCAGATCCTAGCTACGGGGTGAGTACCACCATTTGGCTGAATAGAATGGATGAGTCTGAAAATCTCGGGCTTAACTTCTGTATCTGTGGTTGATTTTTCCACTCAGGACTCAGTGTCCGAAGTGGAGAAGCTACTGAAGAAACACCAGGATTTTGAGAAGATGCTTGCAGCTCAGGAGGAGAAATTTGCTCAGCTCAACAGGAAAACTAAGGTGAGAAGTAGAGTTGTGTATGAGACAGGATGTTGTCACAGGATGACCTGGCTCCTTAGCTGTTTGGAGTTCAGTCAGTCCTTGCCAGAATGAACTCCTGTGGTCAGATGGAGGAAATGAGTGTCCAAAGCTGAGATACTGGAAACAGCAGCTGAGAAAATAAGAGCTGTGTGTAGGCCAATAGAGTCCAAGTAGCCTGCAAAAGCTCTAGGGGAGAAGTGGAAGCCTTGCTCTTCCAGGGACAGCACAGGGGCTGTGTAGCATAGCATGTGCTGCTGTGTGAGGAACAGGGTGACCCGTCACTATTGCAAACGGGATAGAGAGATATTTGATGCACTCAGAATTTCAGGAGGGAGCTGCAGTCCCCTAGGAGTACTGGAGGATACTAAGGGGCTGAAAGCAAAGACAGACTGAGGCAGAAATAGTCCTTTTTTCCTTCTGGCATCAGAGTTCTACAATGGATCATGTTCAGTAACAAAAACATTCAGTCAGCCTCCCAGATCCTCTGTCAACTCTTCTTCAAATAGTTTACGTGAAATAACCAGCATAACATAGCATTTGTATTTGGCATTAGGTGGGAAAAAAGTTTGAATCTGCCTTTTGGTCTGTGTTTTTTGCAAATTGGCAAAATGAAGGGACAGAGATCCTCCTCTCTAAAAATTTTCCATGAGAATATTCCTGGATACTCATTGTTCCTACAGTAGACTTACTTAAAGCAGGCAGTGCCACAACACAGAGGCACAGTTTCTCTGGAGCTTATTAAAGTCTCAGCCTGTAAAGATCTTAGAAAAGGCTGGTATTCGCTGTATTTGAGATTAATTCCCGCCAATGTTCATAGCTGGTAAAATAACAGTCAGGACATAGCTATTAAGTTCAGTTCTAACTAACTCTAAAAATGCTAGTGAAGGTACAGTCCTTTAAAGTCGGTGCCAAGAGAAGGTGTATTTGAAAATTATGTTTGCTTAAAATAAAATATTTTTAGGTGGGTACCTGTAAGTGCGCTCACACAGGTAATTTCACAAATGTAATATTTGTGTCCTACAGAGGGAGATGAATCTTCTGAAACAAACTGACCCAGAAGAGAATGATTCAAAGGATAAAGGCAAAATCATACGGGTTCCCTCTCTGAAAAGAAAGACATCTGACAAAAGGAGTCCATCGCCAAGAGTGATAGAGATAAAGAGCACAAAGCCACCGCCAACTGCGCCCTTACCCAGCCTGGCCTTGAGAGTTCCCCTGGAAACTATTTTCTCCCCCATCGAAAAGTCTCCAGCAGCATTTCAAGCATTCAGCGCTGGAGGAGTCCCAGAGGCGCGAGGCAGCACCAAAACAGAGATGAAAGTTGAGAGGAGGCTTAATGAGACTATCCCTCCACCTACACCAAAGCCAATGGGTCCAGGAGCTACGTCTTTGGAAAGTCAAAGTTCTCTAACCTCTCCTTTATCTCCTGCGCCCATAAACGAGCGACACAGCAGCAGTTTGTTGGAATCATATTCCTCAAGCCTTTTGTCACCCCAAGATAAAAATGCTGGAGGGTCCTCCTTCTCTGACCTGCAGACAAAAGTAGTGACGACTCCACCTGAGCCTGGCCAAAGGTCACAAGCTAAATCATCAAATTTATTGCTGTCTGGTTCCTCTCAGGAGAGATTAGAGAATGCATCTTTGGTAAGTCCTGAGGATTTCTGACTCTGTCCGCACAAATCCTGTGTCTCGTGCTACTATGTGCTAGTTAAAATAGCAGAATATAGCAAGTTCTGTAAGGAAGTCACAAAGAGCACTGTACAGTGGTCCTTTCAGCGGGTTCCCTCATGGATCCAAAGGGCAAGAAGCATTTAATTTGCCTTTGCAGAGCCAATACATTTTCTAGAAAGATAGTTGCCTTAAGCAGCTAGGCATAACTTAAAAGTGTTTTTAATTTGCTCAGCCCTGTAGACTAGGGCTTGGCAACAGTGTTGGTCTGTGTTTTTCTTTCCCAAATTAGAGGTTATTCATGGCACCAGGTGCTCAGCAGAACATTTAAAAGAGCCAGGAAATGCTGCCTCACAAAAAGAAAGACACTGCTGATTTACGCCTGACATCTTGCCTCTGTGTGAGGTGGTGGCTCTCAGCAGCCACTGAATACAGAAGCCAGGGAGAGCCAGGAGTTAGGAGCTGCTGCTGCACAGGTGGCTGCTGCCAGCTCTCTGTCCAGCTCTGTGTCCGCCTGCCTGGCACCCTCCTTGGCAAGCATGTCAATGGCCACCCTGGCAGGTGAATGCACTGTCAACGCGTGGACGGATAAAAGTTCTTCTCTTCCCCTCTTTCACTTTAAGAGAGGAATGTGTTTGTCCCATATCCAAGTGTACCAGTACAAAGCTATACATTGGTGTAACTCAGCGTTTATTGCCTGGGTGTTATAAATAACTTTGGCCATTTACATTGTAAATTGTTTTCAGTTGTATAAAAATAACATTCAAAATTAAGAAATTTTAGTTTTCTCTAGTGGTAGCTTTTATCACACGGTATCACAGTCAAGTCCTTGAATGGCTCTCGATTTCACAGCGTCTGGATGGCAGACAGACATAGTAATTAATTATATTGTGAGGGGGTCAGGTCTACCCCTTTTAAACAATATGAGAATATACCTTGTTCAGTATAATCATGGTCGTTTACACCTCATAATAGGGTGTTGCTCCAACTGAGCAAATGACTGGATTATAAAAGAAACCTTTAATTAATACACTATGGTAGAGGACATTCCATGAGAAAATTGTTCTAAGTGGACATGAATTACCTTCCTTTAGGTAGTAAATCAGAGATGTGACTGCAATCTAGAGAGGATTTCTGGCTGTGCTGTGAATATAAAGGCTTAGAGGCAGCAGAGATCAGTTCCTCTGTGTGGAATGTATCTAGAAATAGCTTCAGAAATTATAGCAGATATTTAAGGGCTCCTTTAAAGTTAAACAGTAACGTGCTTGCGTGTTACAGGTTTCTGCAAGTCTCCAGAGCATGGAGGGATTCCTCGAAAAGAGAGACCAGCTCCTTCCGGGAAGGCACCAGGTAGAAACAAAAGCCCTCGCTCTGGGTTAATTCACCTTTGAATTTGAATATAGTCCGGAGCGTGACTTCCTCAAGACAAAATCTTGCTGAAGGGGCGTTCAGGACTGTAGGCGTAATTCAGTTCCCACTAAAAACCATGAAGAAGTCTCCATTGACTTCAGCAGTACCTGATCTAGCCCTTAGCAGAGGAGACAATGGAATTTTTGTCTGTCAGGGGAATCGTGCAGTACAGAGACAGTCTACATTTGATGGGTTTATTAACAGAACCTGGACTGTATGAATGTTAATTACATTCCCCTTCAAAAAGTGCCAAGATTGTGTATCGGTGTGTGATAGTGTGTCAGCAGCAAAAGCCCCCAGCCCAATGCTTCCAATGCTTATAATTTCTAACTGTACTAGGAAAGAAACAAGGTTTCAGTTCATGGATAATGAGTGGAAGAAGTGGTCTGTTTAATCCAGGGCTGAAGGAAACTGAAATCTAAGTTCTCATCCTGGGAAAGCATATGGCTTCAGTTCGGTAGGATAATGGCCATAACAGGGCAGGAAATTTTCTAATATTCACCACAAGTACGTAGACGTGTGACTGCTTGCTTAGGTATGGCCTGTAAATAGGTTATCCCAGTTTGCTTGTCCCATACACTGTTTCCTCCTCTAAAACTTTTAACTTGCAAGAACTCTTAATTAATGAAATTCCGTACTGAATTTCATCATCTGGAAGCAGAAGTAGTTATTCCTCTGTTCCAGATGCGCTGAATTAAGTTTGCTGTGTTACTGCATTCCCATCTCACCAACAAAGAAAACCTATGACATATATCTTCCTTAGGATTCTCCTCTTCCTTCTCTCTGACTCACCAAATAAGTAAGTCAGCTTGATTTACTGGCATAACAAAATAGGAATATATACAAGTAATGAGTTCCTTCATCCAGAAGGATCCCATGGCGCAAGGCTAACCTTTCACTGCTACATAGTTGGGGTAGGAAATAGCAACCGCTTTTGCACACCGTTCAGGAGCGTTCCACAGGGGATGGCTCAGGAAGTGAAGAAGAATTCAGTAACCACTTCTTTAGAGTGAAACCATGTATGGACCAAGACTAGAATATGACCAGCAAGTGTGGGCCAGTGTTCCAGCAGCTGGAGAAATAAAGTGGAGCTTTCAGTGGCAAAAAATAGACACAACTTACTTTGAAAATCCATCTTCTCTCAAAGATGCTGCTGAACACAACATGGTGTACAGCCTGCTTGCTCCTTGTTGCATCATTTGTTGTCCTGGCCCACAGTGGGCCCCTTACTGAATCACCACACCATTAACTACAGCAGGTTCTGTTTTTCTAGGAGAAAACCATGAACTTCTGTGATCATAATCTGGGCAGCTCCTGCCTTCCGGAGGAAGCTGCACACAAAAGATTTCAGTGCTGTAATTAAATATGTACCTATTCATTGGATTTTATCATTGTTTCTGTTCATGTAGCCAGGCTCAAGGTCTTGGAAATCCTTCTATGTGAAACTTGATGGGCTCAAACTTGATTTCTATAATGATGATAAAGAAGCCTTTCAGGTAATTTCTTTTTTGAACCTTTCTAGTAATCTCTGTGTATTTCCCTATTTAAAACAGAAGTTAAAAAAATAAATAAATAAGAGTTACATTTGCTTTAGTTTAGGACTAGGGATAATTAGTGAATTTTCGAATGTTAGTTGGGTCAAATCCAACCATTGTTGCATGGATACTGACCGTAAGACTGAAAAATAAGTTTTTTCATGAGTTTTTCAAACCTATTCTTCACAAGAAGTATCTTACTCAAGAGTTTCCTTCGAGATACGATGTAATACTCCACTTTTCCTTCACCCTTCTTCTGATTCAGTGATTCTAGTTGTAATTTTAGAAGCAGTATGGGTGTGTAGTCAGCCTGCAAATTGGAATAGGATTGAATCCTTGTAGAGAGACAGAGAAAACATTCTATTATAATCTTATCCTCCTTCAGAACGTATCCACACTTCTGTCCCTCAACATTGCTGGCGCCACATGTGAGAGGCTGATAAAGTACGTGAGGAAAGAGAACAGCTTCATGTTACGGTAAGTCATATAGCGAAGCGTGCGAATAAAAAGCTTGCACAGCTAGTCTGAATGGTTCCATTTCCTTGCAGTCACCTAAGACTGTTGCTAAGAGGCATAGCTGAAATATCTTGCAGTGCTTGCACCACTCATAAACACAGGAAGACATAAGGTAAGACCAACTGAAATGCCTCTTCTTCCTGTACTTATTTACAGGCTGAGAGATGGGGCAGAGTATTTCTTTGCAGCGCCTTCTCAGATGGTGATGGAGGACTGGCTGCAATCACTACAGAGTAATATAGGTAGGTTCTCATTTGCTTCAAGGATGAACTGTGTTGTTAGGAGGTGATGGTGAGAGAAGGGGAAGAGAATGAAATATTCTGGTATTTCCTGAGCTGTCCTTTTTGCTTCTGTTGGACAGCAGTACACAAGTCACCTTGCGACGTAATGACCCGGCAGGAGGACTATTCAGGGTGACTTGGAAAGCAGCTTCTCAGTTATACTGCAGCTGGCATCAAGTTATTCCCAGAGAGTTATTCCCTTGCCCAAGGGCTGTTTCCATCCTTTTAATAGAGTTGCTTGCACTCTTAATCAACAGCTTTTCCTCCAAATCTAGCCTCAATAGGCAGTGGCATACTGGAAAGGGTATCAGGACACAAAGATAACTGGTGTCCAGACAAATTTGTTATGGACCCAGAAAGAGCAGGCTGCCTCTAACTCTGCTTCAAGAGGTTTTCACTGTTATCTGACTCTGCAGGACACAGTAACAGAGCAGACTCCAGGGCAAAGGTGCAGCCTTTCGTTCCAAACACAGAGACCTCTCAGACAAGATCGTGGGACTTTCCAAACAGAGACTCTGCTGAAAGACTAACCAGCAAAAGCTCACTCCTGAGGTAAGGGCTCTGTGCTTCAAGGCTGAACAGATGTTACTGTTGTTTGTGTTCAGGTAGCAGTCACCTGCAAAGTAAGATTGCCCTAATGTGAGAAAGTCCCGCTCATCTGTTACTAATCAAGTAGAATATAGTATTCTTGAGTACGACCCAGCTTTAATCCCTATTTATCATTTATGATGTGTTACAGCCAGTTTTCAAATATGGGTCCTCACTGAAGTCAGCCATATCCTGTGTGTGGCTGATGACTTCAGATTGGGACACCCAGAGGAATACTTATATCACCTATCTCAGGCACCAAAGTCACCGAAACGGAGCATCTGAGCTGAAGGCTGGGTTATGTACATGTTCAACAGAGGAAAAACTGGCTCCAGTAGATGAGGGAGTCAGAGCAAAAGTCTAAAATCGGTGCCACAGGGTTTCCTCTGATAATTGTCTCCAGTAGGGGGTCAAAAGAAATCCAGCCTTCTATTTTAAGGAGCCAAATCAGTTGCCTGAAGTTAGACTGCTTTCCTCAAACGTCATTGAGAAACCCAACACAGGCATTGAAAATATAGCCACTGTTCCTGTCAGGAAATTTGGTCCATAGTGTAAATCAGTTTATGTTGCATTTGGGGTCCGTAGGAATCTTGCAGACCACGATGTGAAATCCTAGTCCATCTGCCAGCTGAGCAGAGATGGTGCTGAGCTAGATGCTTAACAAAGTTCTTACATAAACATAGTGCCTTAAAATCACCCAGATTATCCCTGATTTTCTGCTGATGCTCATTGTTGATAGGAGAACACCTTCCTTCAAAATCAAACCGGAGAAAGAGCCTGCAGAATTTTCCAGAGATTTTAAGGAAGACGGGACTGCAGTAACACGAGCCTCCATCACCACTCTGAGACCAGAACAAAGTGGTAATAAAAAAAATCTGCCTCTATCTCTGCTAGAAGTAGGAAGAGAAAAGTGACATTTGCCCCAATGAACACCAGACCCTTCATCACTGCATCTTAACCCAGCCCTCTGGAAATGTATTGGTACATTTTAACTTAATTACTTCCCTTAGGACTTATTTTAATTACCTATTAAACCTAGTAAAGCCTTTAAGTATAACTAAACATGGCTGCCTCTGGTATACTTTTGTGATACAATGCCTCCATCGTTCATCATATCACCTAGGATATACCAACACCAAGATATGAAATGAAATGAAAGAGCAAAGGGACCTCTGAGCCAGATAGCTCAAGTGAAGTGACTCTATGGGATGGAAGTGGAGAGCACTGAGCAGAGAGCAAAGTGCAAACTGTGAGTGAACAGCAGCCACCTGCAGGTAGCTTTGCCAGTATCAATGGATAAGATTCAAAGGAAGAGGGTTGCTCAGTCTGTGCATCACAGAAGTAGAGGTCTCTTAGGGTACATTTGTTATATAATTCCTGTAGTGTTTTGTGGCCTCCAGAATCATTCATTTTTACAATACATTAGCCTGGTATTTCAGAACTATTTAGCAATTCTTTCTGGATCAAGTTACTAGGGAAAAAAAAAACTATACAGTTACTTATTGTTACTGGACTCTAAAATTATGCATGAACAATCAGCCTCTCAGTGTAAAAGAGGAGGAAAAACAGGATTCCAAGGAGGAAGTCTACAAACCTGACCACACCTCTGGGGAAGCTTAAAAACTATATTGATTTTACATTAACATGAACGTATTAGGAAGCTGGATTGGGTGGGAAGTATATGAGATAGTCTTTAGGGGATATGCAGGAGAAGGAAAAAATCGTGTCCTCTAGTATGTTATCTGTACTAAGTCTCATCTTGTGCTCATTAAGAGTGAAAAAAGCCAATAGCGTAAACTTCTGCAACTAAAGAGTGTCAGGTGCACACAAAGTTACCAGATTTTTCTTCCCACAGTGCATGCCAAGAGTCCCAGCATGATGCAGCAGCAGCAGTTCCGTTAAAGGCAAGTGACCCCTATCAAAACGAGTCAGTTCTCCAGCAGAACTAGTCATTTCACCATAAAAGGCAATCAGATAGTTCAAGCATGATTTCCCTTTAGTAAATCCATGATGGATGTTCCTGATTACCATCTTTCCTTCATGCGCTTGGGAAGGAAGTCGAGAAGAATTTGCTGCATCTTTCCAGGGGCTGAGGTGAGGCTGATTGGCCTCATCCGTAGTTCACCAGGTCCTTTTTCTTGCCTTTCCTAAAAAAGCTGTAACATTAGCCTTTATCCAGTCATTGGGGACCTCTCCCAGCCACCATGATTCTTTGTAGATGATAAGAGCAGTGG